AGGCTGAAACGACACAGGGCCTGTAGGCCCTTGTTTTCAGGCTTTCAGGCTGAAACGACCCAGGGCCTGAAAATGGCCCTTGTTTGCAGGCGCAGCATGTTGCAGGCGCAGCATGTAACACAGGCCTCTGCAATGAATTGCAGGGGTCTTGCGGGCTGTACAACATTTGGGTTAGATGAACTTCGATCCGAAAATTTGTTAACTGCTGGCCTGTGCCTGGTAGTCCCTTCAGGGACAGTTTTGCAAAAACACATTTGGGGCCCGGGCCGTGTTCATTGCTCTTGCCTCTCGGTACCTGTATGCCCGTAGGTTTGTCTTTTGTTTTGTAAGGTCCCCTTCGGGCCTGGTTTCGGTCTACGTGCAGATAAGTTGTTACTGTTGGTCCGTCGTAGGTCCTAGGGGTCGAGTAGCTCACCGGTATAAAAGTCGAGGGTCTGAACTTGGATGGGTTCTTTTCCTGTTTTCTTTTCACTTGAGCTGTGTGTGGGAGGTCGCTGGACTGTTGCGGCGCTAGTTCTCCTTCGGTGCAGGGTTCGTCCTTGGTGGAGAGCTGGCGGCCATAGCTGGGCCGTTTTGCTTGCTTGTCAGCCAGCGCTGGGCATGAGGCCCTGAGCACTGTAAGGCGCCTCCTCTTCTGTGCCTGTTGGGGTTGACGGAGCTGCCATCAAAGCTCTTCATTGAAGTGCTCTTCGGAGTGGCGGACATCTTTAGCTTCATCCACTTGGTGTTCTTCTTCTTCATCCTGGGAACGGCATTCCTCTGCTGAGTGGACATATCATCTGCTGGGGGCTTCGTGAGCGGAGCGATCGTTCGGTAGGATTCAGGAGGGTGGTGTGGTGTGTTGCAGGCTTGATATGTTGGGCACTGTAAGTCGAAGTGGTGCCATAGCTAGAGCTTGGGAGAGAGAGAGGAAGAAGAAGTCTCCCTGCAATTTCGTTGAAACTTTGTTTTTCTAATTGGTTCGTGGGCGTTGTAACGTGGTTGGGATCCTGGGAAAGTTGTGCTGCTGATCGAGTTGGGGAGAGATGGTATATATTAGAATTATTAGAATTGATTAAATTCAATTCAATTCTATTCTATTTTGGTTTTGTGAGCTTCCCGGTGTGTCTGAAACTGCAAAGAAACTTCACCCCTGTCCTTGAGGACATCCATTAAAATTGGAAGGATACAGAGAAGGGTAATTAGCATGCTTGAAACGGCAAAGCGCGCCACACCGTCCGGTGCGCCCTATGGGGTCCGGTCGTGGACCTTCCCAACCTCTGTACAGGCCCATACCCGTACCGTAGAGGACCGCACGGGGCCGCATCCGGAATCTTTTATTTTTATGTTTAATTTCATAAGCACTGCAAGGTGGATGCAGCAATCACCTTTCCACTATCCCCACCCAGATCCGCACACCTGTTGATGCAGCAACCAGACTGGCCACACGAGGAAGACTGCTGTTGCCATCAGTCGCCCTTGCCACATGGATCAGTGCCTGCCTCAACCCCTCCTTCACAGACCCCGTCTTCATGGCCATGCCGCTTGATCAAAGTGGAACTATACATGTGGCTCGTCATTGTGACCTGCGCACAAAACCGCAGAAGAGAAGCCACGAACTCAGCCGTGTCCTGCATCCACTCCGAAAAACACATCCCCCTCCCCTTCCCCTCCTAGCCATCTCACCCCATGAAACCCCATGAAATCAGCCTTATTCCACCCCCTCCTAGCCCCCAACCCCCCCCAAAACCCCACGAGAATAGCACTTCACTGCTTTTGCAAAACGTAAATGGGGGGGAAAAAGTGAATAAACCACTACCGTTCCCATATGTCGGCCGCAGGCATTGCACGCCGCCCTGAAAATCAAGACTGGCCGCTGATTCGATATATCGGCGGCCACCCTTCCCTTTCAGGCCAGCATGTTACCCAGCGCGCCTCTGAAAAAATAGCTGGGAAAGGTACTGGACCTAGTGGTGGTGTAGCATATCAGAAAGTGAAATGCACTGAAAGCCTAGGATCTAGCAATGACGAAAGTGGCAACAACCAGCAGCATAGGTGTAACATTCACAAGGTGTCAATGTGCGCGACGCAAACAGTGAAACAACGGGAAATCAATAACACCACATTCGTATCATCATCATCAWAGGCTGGGAAGCAGCGCAGCGAAAGATCTAGTATCAAATGACACGTGGACAACAACATGAAAGGGAGAAACTTCGGAAGGGCAAGACACCAGAAAGATTGCCCTTCCGCTCACACACATGGGGAGAGATCCATAGACATGCGAGAGAGAAGGGGGAGGGACATAGAGGTAGCCAAGTCCAACCCAAGTCTGATCTCCGAATGTCGCACACAGTTCAATCCCAATGTAGAGTGTAAGTCCGATCTGAATGTCGTGTCCAATAAGGCAGAAGGCCGTGTCCAAACAATGTCTGCAGTTACCTCT